GAAAGGCGAGATGCGGGTTTTCCCTTTCTTTATTTACACTTTCAAATATGACCGCTTAACAAAAATGCACGGGCTCACTGGCTTACAACCTTGGCGAATTCATATACAGGCCTGGTCGCAAATCAATCACCCAGAAATTTCCATCAATCCAACGTGATTTAAAGGTGATTTTAGGGGGGTCTTCGTTTTGGATATTTGGGGGGGTTTTGTCCAAAACGAAGACCCTGGCAAAAAAGCACTCAAATTGGCTATTCTTGTTGTAGTTGACGTTTATTACACATACTTTGTTTGTTCTGAGAGTTAGAAATGGTTTAAACGTGATTTAAAGGTGATTTTATGGGGGTCTTCGTTTTGGATACTTGGGGGGGTTTTGTCGAAAACGAAGACCCTAGCAAAAAAGCACTCAAATTGGCTATTCTTGTTGTAGTTGACGTTATTACACATACTTTGTTTGTTCTGAAAGTTAGAAATGATTTAAAGGCGATTTTATGGGGGGTCTTCGTTTTGGATATTTGGGGGGGTTTTGTCCAAAACGAAGACCCTAGCAAAAAAGCACTCAAATCGGCTATTCTTGTTGTAGTTGATGTTTATTACACATGCTTTGTTTGTTCTGAAAGTTAGAAATGATTTAAAGGCGATTTTATGGGGGGTCTTCTTGTCATGTCAGAAAAGGAGTTTGTACAACATGTACTTCCTTGTGAGATTCTCAAAAAGTGTGAACTCACTGAACTGTTTCAGAGATTTAACTCAATCCATCCCTCAACAAGCATATTTGTCAACGAAGACAGAAAGGGTGTTGCTTTCTGCTCAAATTGTCGTTTTAGCCAAGTTGAAGTCCCACCAAACACGCGACCAGGAAAATATGTCAAAGCGCAACATGCTATTGGATTCATGGTGAACAAACCTGTCATTCTTGTTGGTTTGAGGCTGTTTGGTAGGAGTGAAGGGATGAAGTTCCATGTGAACTTAAATATTTATAAAGACAGATACATCAATAGTATATCAAATGTGACATCGTTTTTTTTCTCTGACAGTGAAATGACCAATAGATTGTACTATGGATTTAATGTGATCCTTGTCAAACCTGTTAAACTAGATCCTGATGTTTTTTATCATGTGACAGCGAGTGTCGAGGGTCCACCAGCATATACAGGAACAAATGGTGAATCAATTGTAGATGGAGAAAGAATTAATATTGTATACAGAAACCATAATGATTTATATGCCAACTGTTCCTCAGTTCAGCGAGGGCAGTTTCCGTCATAAATCTTGACCCAAATACAGATTGAAAGGCAAGTCAGAGGCTACAAGTAGATGATTTTTACAAGGAACTCCTATAACTACTCAGAATCATGAACAAATAACTTCAATGTTAGTTGCGTAGCTAAGAATAGTGCCAGTCAAAAAGGATGGCAGATAAGTTGATACAGGCAATCTTTTCTTTTGTCTGGTCAAAGCTTCTTTGATCTAAAAAAACTCCATAATTTCACAAAATATGTAATTTTTGAACAGTTTATAGTTTTTACCCTGTGGTATAAAATCATTATTTAATATACACCTAATTGAAGAAACGTTGTCGGGTCCAAAAAGGTCAAATCATAGAAGCTAAGACCGAAAAGGTACTTGGGAAGACAAACAATTTGGCTAATTTCATACAAACAGCTCTCCAACATAAAAGACTAGCATGCTGTTAATCTTACTAGCTCTAGTTGCTTTACCGTGCACCATGTTAAACACCGTATATACAAATGTAATCCCAATTTAGTGGTACTCAAAATCCCTTTCGGTCTTAGCTTCTATGATGTGACCTTTTCGAACACGACTACGTTTTTTCAATTAGGTGTAGTTAGAGAACAAAAGGAATTGTTGCGTTTGAATATTGTTTTTTGCATTTGTTTACATCTAGAACAGGCTCGAAGGAAC